CAGTAATACCACGCGTTATATCGCCACGTGTTAGTTATACCATGCATTAGATTATCAAGAACTTGTAGTACTTTGTATATTGGATTACCACACGTTAGTAATACCACGTTAGTAATACAGTGAATTATCACATGTTATATCACCACGCGTTATATCGCCATATGTCCGTAATACCACGCATTAGATTATCAAGAACTTGCAGTACTTTGCATATAGGATTACCACGCGTTAGTAATACCACGTTAGTAATACAGTGAATCACCTCGTGTTATATCACCGCGCGTTATATCGCCACACGTTGTATCACCCCACGTTAATAGTACCATGCGCTGTATTGTCATGTATTGCATTATATCTCATCATCCTTTTACTACACATTCAATATTACCATCTCAAAAAATCCTCCACAGCATCCATGGCAATATAACAAAAGTCCATTCAATAAAATTCATCTTACAGGTATGAATATTTATTATGCGGCGATTATTATTGTTAATATCGTTCTTAACGTTATTACCATTCTCTGAAATTATTAGTGTTAGATGTACTTTCACAGACGGGCAGATTCGGTGCACGTCTTACAGAGCTAATAAAATAACAATGAATCGTTTTTCAAACAGAAGGAAACTAGGATTCGAACTCGGAATGTAGGATTTAACACCGACGGTCGCATATTTTGTGGAATTAATGGCTCTCGTAATTTTATACACTGTTCAATGTAACTGGGGGATCAACTTTCATGAGTTCATTTTATACTATAAGGCTTTTCTTTTTAGTATATACTTCATGAACGTCTTTGTAAGTAATCTGCTATTATTGCATTTGAAATAAGATATCCAGTGTCTTCCCCGTTTTGATATTCGAATTTTGTCGAGCAGTGTAGTTCCAAGAAACGTGCGCTCATCAAAGTGTTAGCGGGGAAATTTATAAAATGTTTTTTTTTTTTTAATGTAATATAGCTTGATCTTTCTCTGTAATCTTACGCGTGAAATTTTGTAACAACATGTGCGTTCTTCTTAAATGCATCACATTAACGTTCTCTTTCCCATAACCGCTAATGTATGGTTTTAGCAGCTTATCTTGGTCTATTTAAGAATTGTGCGTAATGTAAGTTAATATTGGTACAAGCTATCGGTCATTTAACCGATTCTTTTAAATCTTGCAATACTTCAATCGAACACTTGTCGAACAACACTCGATTCGAAATCTTAAAGTCCGAAATAAAACGTTATTCAATTTGACTGAATTTGAAGATCACTTTATCGAACTATTCTAGTATCGCGAAAATTCTACCGATACAAAAAGATCCAAAAAGTTTGTCTAATTTTCCTTCGTTTATTAGCACTTTGTTCCGATTCACAGAATTTCTGTGGTAATTGAGCGGTACGTATCGGCTCACGTCATGTGTATTATAAAAAATATAATAATTACTCGTTTGAGACAATTAACGGAGATATTTATGTAAAATATACAAACATGAGCGAACTTATATTGAGTCACGAATTCAAATTTGCGAGTAATTATTATATTGTTATTTAAATTTCGTGAGCCTCTGTATATTAATTCATGTATATCACTTCAACGCCCTAATTTTCTGCAAAACAAAGAGTTCGACTGGCTCGAATCGTTAAACTTAAGATACATTAATATTTACAATTAACTCATTACAATTAACACGGTACAACTGAACCATGTTTCTACAATGGTCAAAAACGTATAATATATCTGTTATTATTAACGCGTTGAATGCAGTGAAGTTTGAAAAATCCTCAAGAATTTTAGTCAACTTTTAATTATCAATTTGCACTGTAATTACCGATGACCTCTACGGCATTCAACGCGATAAAGTTCTATATATGTAACATATAATGCAACGTGAAACGTACATAACATCATGGGTCTGTTTCTTAAACTTAAACTTAAAGTAACGATGTCCCGTGTCGGTTTTACAGCTAATGTATAAAAACGTGATATAATGTTATTATACCCATGAGACAGTTGCATGCCAGAGAAGCCTTGATTAAATGAGAACGAAACGGCTTCCGCACGTAATATGTACACCGACCATGTAATATTTACGTCATCGCGTGAAGTCGTTGATGAAACTGGCGATGATGATGATGGCGATGGTTCGCTTCTATACCGGCGTTATGTAAATGATCGTTTACGAAACATAAAAACCAAAGTTTACAACAATCAACTGATCAACAATGTAATGTACAACCTATTATCGAGATGCAAATAATGTGTTCCATTAAATCGTGTTCTGTTAATAAACACGATCATTAAATACTTCGTAAGGTACTTGATATCGTGTACAAACGATTTCGAATAGTAGAGTAATATGTTTATGCAATAAATATAATTTGCTCGTAAGCTTGACCTTGGTTTGTCGTTAACAGATTTGTCAGAGACGCAGCACTGCCCTTGGAGTTTTGGCGGGAAATGTTTAAACTTTTTAACGTTCTGTCAAATTGAGAAATTTAAAGATGTACAAATGTGTAACGAAACTTGCGTAGTATAACGTCATAATAATTTCTAAAATAAGGTATAACAAAACAAACTCCAGGGGCGGTTCTGCAAACATCTTTCTTATAAATCCACATGAAAACATTTTTGAGAAACAGAAATATATCTCTCGCGTCCGGGTCTCGTATTCGCAACGATCTTGCTGAAACTTAAACAAACATACAAAGCGTCATAACCGCGAGGGACATCCCACGCTTAAACCATTCTGTAACATCGGTTAACTCGTCTAAAACAATGGAACAACGTATGGTACAAACAGAACGTAAATTCGCATACGACGATTAATCGTTAAAACACAAACGTTTCATCGGAGAAGAAATACAACACTATTGCACAGAATGAAACTATTCGTCGAACAGGCGTAGAATCCTTAACGAACGGTCCAAGGTCAAAGAATTGAAGCGTACGGTACACAGAGAGCGGCAATGAAGCGATAATGAAGCGAAAAATGGTGTGATACACGTGAGAATACGAACGTACACTCTACTGACCCGTGGTTCCCGATTCCTCCTTTGATGGGACAGACCTTGATCGATGGGAATATTAAATTGATAAACAAGGAAACATTTTCGCGAGTGATTAGCGAACCTGAAAGCTGTCTGATAGCGTTCTCATGGAAAAACGAGAGACAAGATGTAGATATTAATGTGTACGCGAATGGGAGGAAGGTGAGAGTTAGGTAAGTCAATTCACCTTTCTCTCGAAAGAAAATTATATGCAAAGCGGACCTTGATTCTTTCGTTCATAATAAATTACCAAAAACCTCCCGCACTGCGACCGCCTGGTGGATTGTTCACGCGGATGCAAGCTCTTCTTGCTTCTTCTACGTCCTCTGTAACATAGACGTATTAATTAGTAAGGTAAAGTTAGGTGTAAATTTAATTTACAATTAGAGAAAGTGTACATGAAGGTCTACCACTCGCTTTATTTCTCCATGTTCCTTATTCACATGGGTGCAGCTGAAGTTGGAACTTTGGGAGCTAGGAGTTTGGAACTTTGAGAGTTTGAGAGCTTGAGACTTTGAAAGATTGAGACTTTGAGACTCTGAGACTCTGAGACTTTGAGACTTTGAGACTTTGAGACTCTGTGACTTTGAGACTCTGAGACGTTGAGACTTTGAGACTCTGAGGCTTTGAGACTTTGAGACTCTGAGATTTTGAGACTTTGAGACTTTGAGACTCTGAGATTTTGAGAGTTTGAGAGTTTGAGACTCTGAGACTTTGAGACTTTGAGACTTTGAGACTCTGAGACTTTGAAACTCTGAGATTTTGAGATCTGAGACTTTGAGACTCTGAGACTCTGAGACTTTGAGACTCTGAGACTTTGAGAGGTCTGGGATACTGCAGTCTTGGATTCTGAGTTTTTACAACAATGGAACATTGCAATCTTAGAATACTAGTACTTTGAAACTATAGACATTGGTAGCCTGGAACTTTGTGCCTCAGGAACTTCAGAATTTGTTACTTGTCTCTCACTAGAACTCTCAAAAATTCTTCTACATCACATGACTGCAAAAGAATAATCCTTACACAATCACATAGTCCTTGCTCTACCACAATCAAAAAATTATAACGAAATCTTTATTTACCAAAAGAATCTACTAATAAATTCCCTGTAACTTTCCTACATTTCCTCAAGTCATCTCGCGTGATGTACACAGTACATTGCTCTCAAGTCTTCATCTAAATCAATCATCGCTACCTACCGCTAATAGAGAAAGTGGAATCTTGTAAATTTCTCTGTCCTTCCAGTCGTGGACCTTTCGACGATGGCGTAACCACCGCGGAATCAGGTAACGTCGGCAAACAATCAGGCATCTTGACTTTCGGTTTCGGGCTCTCGTATGTGCCATTCGTCTGATGACTCTTGGCAAGGGCAGCAGCTCTTGCCTCCTGTTTCGCTTTCGCGATAGCGGCATCCTCTTCGGCGTACTTCTTCGCCTCTGCTTCGGTTCGTGCCACACCGCGTGGTCTCTGAACAAACGGTTAAAGGTGGAAAGTAGTAAAGAATGTTTATCGTTGTGCATGAGTGAGTTTGGAGATATTCACCTTTTCTCTGTCCTCGATCATGCCGTATACGTATTCAGCGTTGCAAGGCGTTTCGATGAACTTTCCAAAACCGTGGACGACCTTCAGTTCGCACTCGTCTACGCAGACTCGTCCTTCGACTATGACGTATTCTGGTACTCCGTGAACTTCCATGCCCTGGAACAGGTGCAATTGAGACGTTTGTAGCTTCAAATTTTTGTTTAGACAAATTTTTATATACTAAGATCTGTATCTTCAAATTTCTTATATTTCCAGATCTTTGTATTCCTAGACTTTTATATTCTCAAGTTATGTATCCACATTCCTACGCACTATTTTTATATTTGCTGAAATCTCTAGATCTTCAGAAGCCTAAACCACGTACTTATGTTTCTAATACTTACATCTCTAATCTTACTTGATGCTAAAATAGATATAGTTACACAATGAAACACAGCTATTCTTAGATTCCTAGATTCGCATATCTCTAAAATTCTTTATCCCACTGTTCTTACATCTTTAATCTGATACTACATCTTTGATACTAAAGTAAATACAATAAATGACATAATGACATCATGATCTCTAAAATTCTGGACATCCCAGTGTTCTTACATCTTTAATCTAATACTACATCTTTGATACTAAAGTAAATACAATAAACGACATAATGACAAGTATTAGTCCCGCATCCCTATACTCTTACTGTGCCCTCATACTAAAGTACATCGAATCGAATAATGAAGAGCCCTACGACCCTACAACCACTTCAAACTAAAGTTACATAATGTAGTCAACAAAGTAAATGAATTCTTCCGCAAACAAAAGCTTAATGACGTTATCTTCCCGGGTCGATGAAGCTGATTAAACTTCCTGTGTACGATGTCTAAATTCTGCAAGTCCGCAGCGACTTCATTGAAGCTTAATATCAAGTCCGTACCTCGAAGATGTTGAAGTCAACGGCCTGAGCGTGAGTCTGGGCGGAAATCGTACGCTTCCTGTTGGGGTCCCAGACGACTATATCAGCGTCTGACCCAATAGCGATTACTCCCTTTCTCGGGTACAAGTTGAAGATCCTGGCTGCGTTGGTACTGGTCACTGCCACGAACCTTGTAGGGTCCATTATACCCGCGTGAACACCTTTCTCCCACAGGACCGACATTCTATCCTCGACGCCATTCACGCCGTTCGGGATCTTCGAGAAGTCGTCTTTGCCTAAGGCCTTTTGGTCTGCGTTGAAGGTACAGTTGTCGCTTCCCACTACTTGGAGATCATCCCTGAAGAGGTGATACGTAATTTAGTTATTTTAGAGAATTGTATATGCAAGGTTTTATTAACATTAGAAGTACGGATGTTCAGTGGTTATTTTTAAGTTGTGGATAAAGTACAAAAATAAGGGATGAAATGAAGTATTATAAAATTGACTATTGTTGAACTTTAGACTGATTGAGACTAATTTTAGACTGATAAAATATATAAAAAAATAAATAAATGGAAGATGAAATAGTCTTCGGCCAAATAGTTTACAGACCAAAAATAAAATAAATAGGGGATGAAACATTTTTGAAAATCCGTAAATCTAGTGTTAAACTAAATGAAACATTAAAGAGTTCGATAAAAGGTTACCTTGACATCTGAGAAGCTACAATAATACTTATAACATAAAAATTGAAAAGAAATTCATGTTCACAAACGTTTGAGGCTGATTGCCGTTCAATGATCTCTTAAACGAATTTTCCTCTGCCCATTTAATTGAGTTTAATATACCGCCAGATAAAAGCGACTTCCCACGCGATATCTATGTAAATTACGTTCAGTTAGGCTTGTGTCGCGTGTGCCAATTCGTTCATGCTGTAATTTATCGCCGTCATTTGAATAATCGTGCAACGTTATAACACAGCAAAGAGGATCATCTCGTTATCGATCTTTCGAATAATTCATCTACTTTGTGACTTGTTGATTAGTTCAACGTATGTACTTGAGGACCTGGAAGCACTCGAAAGAAGATACAGAGTGAAAATCATCAAATCAGCTCTAGCTTAGACTCTCTTAGACACAAGTACTTGAACGTCTTGAAACCTTGAGATCAACAAGAAACGCAAATGAAACGTGATTTTTAAGATTGAGAGTGATATTGTAGTATTTGTTATTTACTAGAAATGTTACACATGGTTGGGAAGATTAGGTATTGTCGTAAGAATCTTCTTAGTAATGTTATTTTAAGAATCTTCCTAGTAATGTTATTGTAAGAATCTTCATTATGAAAGAATGTGGATCTGAATCGTTTTAAATTTGAAATGAGTCGAATTACGTCAGTTTGCATCACAATGAAACTACATCAAAACGAGTTACATTAAATCGTGTAGAATCGAATTGCGTCGAATTTAGGTTGCACTGAATTGAATCACGTCGAAGTAAAACAGGTGAATCGCATTTAAAATGCATTAAATTGAATTTCTGCTTAAAACTTGAATCGCGCCGAAAACTTGAATTTCAAAATTTAAAACGTGTTGACTCCTAAGTTCCGAAATCAAGAACTAATTCTACCTTAAACTTGCCAACAATATCACATTCTCAGCATCGTTTCAAATACTTCAACATGACCAAGCTTTGAATATGAACAGAGTACAATTACTTACTGATCGAGGTGTTCGATTAGATAAACGGGTGTCGTGGGATCAGGTCTCAATGGTGGGCTAGTAATGTAACGCCTCGCTTTTTCGATATCTTTTCCATACTGTTCGCTACCGTCGATACCAATGGCACTTGCGACAGTTTCTCCTAACAGGACAACACCCTCCGAGCGTTTAGTCGACAGAACGTCTACGGCTGACTTGCTCGTCACCGCAGTTACGTACAGCGGACAATTCACCTAAACGCGATATGTTAATCCTCTAACAGCTCCGGACTTGGATTCTGACTCAAAACGTGATCACGATTGAAACACTTGTTGAATAACAACAGATTGACAATAGATTGACAATAGATTGTCAGATTGTCAAAATAGATCACCTAATCACCTTAAATCTTCAGCTACTTTGCAAGTTAAGTACCATAATTTCAATTTGAAGATCAAGCGTAAAATTAAGCTAAATTGTGATCGAAGACAGTTATTATATTCAATCGTGATCACGGTGTGTCCAACTACAGTTTAAGTGCCACACATTGAACTACATTACTACGGACGTCTACACACTGATACGAGAGAATCGTGCCAACGGTGCAACTCTGAATTTAAATGCAAAAGAAATAGGGCAAAGGAAAAGTGGAGTGAATCGCAGTTAACTATCGGCGTTCATGCACGAGAATTTCGACAGAACTTCTAAATATAATTTCCGGTGCATGCAACAACGAGAAACTATAATTATACTTTGTCGATGATCGCGTGTACGCTTTGAGGCTCCTGGATGTACTACACCTCAAATAGATAGTTTAAAAATTTGTTCAATTATATTAGATAATTTAGGGGTCAACCTGGTCTATTCAGTGTGATTGATATGTTCGGTATAAATTGTTGATACTATTATAGCTGGACCTGGTGGTCCTTGGATGAAAATACTAGTTGTATTGTCCTGATCTTTTGTTAAATAGTACATTGTATGTATGTTATTATATGAATGATATTGTCAAGGATATTATTATAATATCAATGACATTATCAATAACATTGTTATAACATCAAGGACATTATCAAGAACATTATTATAATATCAATGACACTGTCAAGGACATTATCAATTACATTATTATAACATCAGTGACATTGTCAAGGACATTATTACAATATTAATAACATTCTTAATGACATCATCAATTACATTATTATAATATCAATGACATTGTCAAGGACATTATTATAACATCAATGACATTATCAATTACATTATTATAATATCAGTGACATTGTCAAAGACATTATTGTATCATCAATGACATTATCAATTACATTATTATAATATCAATGACATTGTCAAAGACATTATTGTAACATCAATGACATTATCAATTACATTATTGTAATATTAGTGACATTGTCAAAGACATTATTATAACATCAATGACATTACCAAAACATCAAAAACATTACAAATGACATTATGATAATATCAATGACATTAAAGACTTTTAACTGCATTTTACAAACTTGCATAAAATCCAAGAAGATTGTTCAAACGTTTTGTTATACCTATACCTATATCAGATACAAATACAAAAGTGTAATTTCTTAAAAAATGTCTAACAAAGCTTGAACTCCGATGTCAAAGTCACCCAAAAGAGAGGTTCAAAGGTGGCTTCGACTCACGTGGCCAACATATTCAGGATCACATCAGGTGTATCTGGGTCTGGCCTTAAGGGTGGACTCATAACATATGCCGCAGCGTGTCTCCAGCATTTGTGAGCGTAGTTGGTACCATCTGTGCCAATTGTAGCCACCAAGGTCTCGCCGAAGACGCAAATGCCACGCTTACGAGCGATCTGCACCGCCTCTGCGGCACTACGACTCATCACATGCACTACATACAGTGGACAATTCACCTAAGCATGCAGAATTTCCATGGATTTGTGTCTTCGTTTACATCTATCAATTCTATCGCGTGTTACAGTTCTTATGGTAACTTGTGAGTAATAGGTACAGTCATAGGGAACAATGTTGGTTTCCTTTGGAGGACACTTGTGTTTTAAAAATATTTAAATTATAATATTTTAAGTTTCTAAATTATAGCTAAGTAAATTTTCAAGTTTCTGAATGTTTAACTTGTCTAAAGTTTCAAATTTTTTTATTTATAAATATTTCACAGTTTCTTGTTTTCAAGGTCGTAACTTCTACATTCATAAATTTTGCCAAATTTTCAGATATCTACTTTTACAAATGTCCCACATTTTCAGATTTCAAGCTCTTACATTTCTACAAGCTTGAACTTTAACATTTTCAAAATTGACATATGACATCTCAAAGGTTCCCAAAAATCACGAATGAGCTCCCCCTTGTTAGCCAAATTATAGGAAACCAGATTGCTCTTGACTGTACCAACAAAGTTCCTGCCGTTTGCACATTTTTCGTCAAACACGTTCTGAAAAGTAGCCGAATAAAAACCGTAAAAAATGTGGTAAAATGTTCACGTATCAAAGTACCAACGAAAACGGAAAGAGCTTTCTCAGTTACCTGATATTAATCGTTGGAGTGCTACGGTTGCTGACGTTATAATTACACAGGAAGTACCACTCGAACGGTTAATTTAGAGCTGCCCTATTTCTAGCAAAATGTTGCGTACAAAAATAATTGCGTGAAAAGTAAATAAAATTGAACTTAAAATGACAAGAAGCAACGAGGTAAATTAGGAAACATATCTGAAAGCGGCTGTGCTAGAAATAGTGAACAAGCATAACAAATATCTCTAATTTCTAATAACAAATATCTAATTTTCGCGACTTATGGTCGTTTACCTGGCTGGCTATGACAGAGGCTCTGTACACAGCCTCCGCCTCCACTTCTTCGGGACGCGACATTTCGTGACCCTCCGGCCCTGTAACTCCTGCCTCGAGCAATCGTTTCGTGTTCTGAAACAATTTTGAACGATCTTCCTATATCTCTGAAGAAAACCCGTGTCAGACACTGCATGGTATTTTTATCGAACAATGCAGCACTGCGGTAACGAGGATGAACTAAAAAAGTCTACATTGCACAATATCACGTTATAAACATATCTACATGAAGCATTTCTGATTGAGTGATTTACAGCTGCTCAAAAATCCAGAAAGTCGGCGATGAACGGGACTTAAAATAATGAGCGACGTTTGCCGCATTCATACATTCAGAATAGAAATGAACCTGTTACGTTTCAAAGAAAGTAGAAACATGATATTTATAATTTCTGAGACGTGTTTCAATTACGTTGCACTTCAGTTATCAGCAATTAAATCAACTAAGAATTCCGCCAATCAATTACAATCTAATTAAATAAATACTCGATGTATAATGCATGTAATTAAATTACAATTCAGTTAGCGCGCAGACCATCCGCAGAGTCGGCGACGCACGGTTAAAATCCTACGTACTTCTGTACGATAATGCACGTCGATCAATAGGTTCTGCAGCGAACCGTGACCAAGACATATCAGTCCGTACTAAATCGACTCCAATAATAATTCATAGGTTGTTCCAAGGATAACAGTAACCAACATCATAAATCACGCCGTTGCATCGTACCTCGGCAATAATATCGCCGTTTTCCGCATGAACCATGGCGACGGCGCCGAGTTCCTTGCACGTCTTGAATGCCTCGATCAACTCTGGGTCCCGGAGCATGAACAAGTCATGGTAGGCCATAAACATTTTAAAACTACTGACACCGTGCGAGCTGGCTAACGTAGTCATTTCCTCTTTGACCTGCAACAAAACGACCGTTTGGTGAACGTGACGAACTCGGAGGATTGAATGTTTCGGATAGACAAGCGTGAAATGGTACATTTGGTAAATGGAAGTAATGGAGGTGAAATGTGGGCAGTTAGGGATATGGAGGATTAGGGATATGTGAGGAGTTAGGGATTGGAGGGAGTTTGGAAGTATAGGATTTGTTGATGTAGTTTGGGAAATGAGAATTTGGGGATGTAGGCATTTGGGGATGTGGACATTTGGGGATATAGGGATTTAGGGATATTAGTATTTAGACATTTGGGAATTTGGGGAGAGTAGAGTTGGAACATATGGACATCTGGAAATACTAAGAGGGAATATTAGTGTTTGGGGGTATAGGAGTTTGGAGCTATTAGAGTTGGAACCTGTGGATATTTAGAGGTATAGAGATTAGGGGTTATTAGTATTTGGGGATAAGGGATTTGGGGATATTAGAGTTGAGAGATGTGGACATCTGGAGATATAGAGATTAGGAAATATTAGTACTTGGGATATAGAGATTTGGAGATGTAGGAATTTGGGAATGTAGAGATTTGGGTCTGCCAGAGTTTGGAGATGTAGAGATCTCAGGATCTAGGGATCTGGAGATGTGAGAGTCGAAGGCTCCAGAGATCTGGAAATACAGTGACCTAGGAATGTAGAAATCTGGAAATATAGTAATCTAAGAATACAGAGATCTGGAAATATAGTAATCTAAGAATACAGAAATCTGCAGATATAGTGATCTAAGAATATCATTACCAATCATCCTCCATTCCCACTAATTTTCTAGCAATACAAACCTTCCAAAATTTATCAAAAACATAGAGACCTACATGTACCCATCCAAAAATCATAGAAATGTGCATATCCCTCACTCTACGCAACACTCTCAAAATAAAGAGATTAAAGAATCTAGTCATTTTCGAATGGTTAACACAGCCATTTCCTCTACAACCCGTAACAAAAGGATGAATTGGTGAACGTGTCAGACACGCAGGGATCGTTCGGAGCGGACAAGCGCAAGCAAATAAGGAGCACGACGATTTACATGCACCCGTAAGCGGTTCGCGATTTCCTCACCGATCGTTGGCTATTCCATTCACGATCGGGATTACAGTTATAAAGCCGGTGCTATCGAAGCAACCTGCGGCTACCAGATCTCTGCGATTTGCCAATTTATCGCAGGATCTATCGGTTTGCCCGTATTCGGAAGCGGCTAGCACGCACTCTTGCCGCTTGATCGACTTCTGAGCCACAGTTTCGTTTGCGATCTAACGATTTACCTCAACACTAGTTGATCTGATAAATACTGAACGATGTACGAAATGTTGGTGATTCTGTGAGCAGCTAATGATTTTCGAATTATGGAGATTGTGAGATGTTGATGGTTATTGATGCTTATTAATTTGAGTGGAGATGTGGGGATAGAGTTGGAGGAGTTGGAGGGATCTGGTGATGGAGGGATTTACTGATAGAGAGATCTACTGATAGAGGGATCTATTGATAGAGAGAGCCAAGGATAAAGGGATAGAGAAATAGAGGGATGTATGGATAGAGATATGCACTGATAGAGGGATCTAGGGATAGAGGGTTCTAAGGATAGAGGGATCTACTGATTGAGAGATCTAAGGATAGAGAGATATAGGGATAGAGGGATGTAGGGATAGAGGTATCCACTGATAGAGAGATCTATGGATAGAGAGATCTAAGGATAGAGAGATCTATGGATAGAGAGATCTAAGGATAGAGAGATGTAGTGATAGTGGGATGTACAGATAGAGAGATATAGGGGTAGAGAGATTTAGGAATAGAGGGATCTACTGATGGAGGAGTCTGCTGATGGAGGAGTCTGCTGATGGAAGGATCTACTGATGGAGGCATCTACTGATAGGGGGATTCACTGATGGAGGCATCTACTTATGGAGGGATCTACTCATAGAGGAGCCTACTCATGGAGGAATCTACTGATGAAGGGATACATTAATACAAAAATGTATGAACAGAGGAATCTCTTGATAGAAGAATCTAAAAATCCAGATATGTAGAAATACAGAGATTTAGAGATAAAAGTATCCACGAATCAAGAGATCTAATAATAAAAGCTCTAAGAATAGTGTAATACAGCAGACTAAGTTAATCGACTAATATAAACTCTAAGAATATCAAGCAACCTAAAAACATAATATTCATGAATTTTTAACCATCTTTCCACTATATCTCAAATGCAAGTTCAAAAAGTTCCTAAACTTCAAAATCTCCAAATTTTCCAAAATTGATACTAACATGAGAATATATGAATTTTATACATTCATCTTGGGTTATAGAACTCTGATGAAGAACTCTGATGAGAGATTGATCCAAACTCACGAAACTTTGTTTGATACCTCGTTATATATAAGCCACATTGGACACGCGATGACAGAGATATCATTTGTAATATTGACGTGATGAATTAATGAGATCAGACAGTTATGTTGAAACGGCGATGTTACGCGAGACAAGCATGCCGCACACGGTTCACACGCATTCTCTACTCCGTTTAGCTGGGCGGAATGAGATAATTAGCATGACACAAGACCTTCCTGGAAAAGAAAGCACTCTTTGGCGTGACCTCTTTCTCGCGAGTTTTAACCTCTTTACCGAGAAAGTGGTTCGTTGTTGAACCTAAGATGCGCTGAATCTAACTATGAAGTTTACCGACGTTTGCAATACTGTGTGGTTTATGTTCTCGTACAAAATACTTCTCAACTGTCTTACTCAATCAGATGAGATAGTATTTCAAGTACTGTTTCGTCAGATTTAATAGTTGCGATGGAATTTTGCAAGGTTTATTTTGATTGAGGGATGTGGACATGTGGAAATTTTTAGACATATGTAGATGTAGAGATATGAGGAGATGACATATGCAGATGTAGGGAGATATGAAGAGATGACATATGTAGATCTAAGGAAATATGAGGAGATATAAGTATTTTGAGATATGTGAATTTAGCATATATATAGAGATTTGCAAGTTACAAGCAGTTGGCGTATAGAGATTTATGGATGTAGAGATATTGGAAGATTTATTGGAGATTTGGAAATATATAGGTCTATGTAGACCTGTATAATTTAGAGATCTAGAGATGTGGAGATATGGAGATTTGGAGATATGAAGGTGTGGAGATACGGAGATGTAGAGATGTGGAAGTTTAGTGATGTGGAGCTGTATACATGTGGAGATGTAGAGATGTGAAGATACAGAGATGTGGAGATGTAGAGATGTGGAGATGCAGAGATGTGAAGATGTAAAGATGTGAAGATGTAGAGATGTAGAGATGTAGAGATGTGGAGATGCGGAGATTTGGATATGTGGAAATATGAAGATGTGAACATATGGAGATGTAGAGATGTGGAGATGTGGAGATGTGTAGCTGTGGAGACGTGAAGATGTAGAGATGCAGAGATGTGGAGGTCTAAAGATGTGGACAACTAGAAATCTAAAAATTCAGAAACGTAACAATCTATAAATCTACAAATCTAAACATACAAATCTTCGCATATAAAAATTTGTCCATACAATAATAAATATACCTATCATAACATAAACTCTCACAAATCTATATACCTAAGTACCCACTGAAACGTGAATGATACAATTAGCAATTTCCCCAGCCATCATAATTTAAGAACGCAGTAACTGAAGAATATCTGCAAACAATACCGTCTAACGGACATGCCAACATGTACAATGTCTCACTTTTGGACTCCACGAGGTAACGGCGACATGGAGCGAATAATCGCAGCAGACCTTCTTGTCGGCAGTCTCTCTATACCTCTCGTACGCCTCTAACAGAGACTCGTCCTTCTTAGGAATGACGAAATCGATGATCATAGTAGTGCCACCGGCTACGGCTGCCTTCGTCCCCTGATAGAAATCGTCGACCGACTTGGCTCCCATTAGCTCCAGTTCGAAATGGGTGTGCGGATCTATACCACCGGGCATCACGTACTTCCCACGGGCGTCGATGATTCTCGTACCTCCTGGTATTATCAGATTTCGCCCCATTTGTCTGAAAATAGATAGTTCTTGAATCGAATCGCTGTTTCATCAAGATCGAGAATAACTTTTCTAGGTTGAGATCGCTATTAGCGATTGAAGCGATTGTATCAGTGACTTTTAATAACTGCTATATAATTACACTTTAATAAATAAATGATGAGTTGATGTTCTTCGTGTCTTAATGTGGTTATTTTTGAAACGAGTCAATGTCTAATACTTTTGCTATGTTGATATGTTATCATGTCTGACAATGGACATGTATACGAGACGTATAAGAGTTCGTAAATATTTATATAAGATTGCTCTTGTGTTTCCAGAGATTCTGATAAAAAAATGTAATAGAAATATTCGTTCAACAAGTTCGATCCCAAAATAACTCAGGGACCATCCTTCCACCATAAGTGTTGATACATTGCAAAAATGAAATGAAAATTATTTAAATATGTTTGTTGCATAACTATAATAAAAGTCTCCTAATGAAGTGTATACGTCACGATAAAAAAGCAGTAATAGACCGGTAATCGATCGATTGACGAAGCGTTTCCACCCAGTCGCAGCTAATTATACGTCCGCAAAGTCTCCTAACGTTACCGCCTTTCAATCGTCGATTACCATGCGCATGTCACGCTCGTTTGACAAATTGCAGCGCGTTATCTAGTTGGTGTGCATTGTTGCTCATTGATAAAACGATCCGCGTGTATCGCGTATCGCTTGCGTAAAACGGCGAACAAACACGCGACCATGCTACTGAATGAAACGTGGATCGTAAAAATCCGAAAGTCTCGTTCGGTTACGTCGGCTCGCGACGTGTGTCCTGGCGATCGATTTACGTAACTATTCATCGGCCGTAAACGTTGAGACGTTGAATGAACACACGGCTGATCGAAACGCGGTACAATAACTGTAATTGCATGCGAATTACTATGCGTGTTTGTTCGCGATTACGCAACGATCCGCGAGAGTAGAAATCGAAGGAATCGTGGCGTGAACACGTGTGAAATCTTACTTGATGATACCGTCCTCGATGTAGACGTCGTTGTCCGTGATGCCATCATCGTTCACGACCTTCCCGTTCTTGATCAGCAGCCTGTTTTGCGCGCTCTGCAAACAGAACGAACGATCGGTATCAATTTACATATTCCTGCAAAGAAACCGCAGCTCTGCTATTGAACGATGTTCAATGGTGACTTTTATTCTGATGTTCTGCAGGGCTGTTCAGAAGCTTTCTCGTTGAGGTGATGTTAGATTGTATATAGCGACTCTTGTTATATTGCAATATATTGGGCAAGGAAATAGCTTTGCTATTCAACGATGTTCAATAGTAACTTTTATTCTACTACTTTTCGGAGTTATTAAAAATCTTTCGATTTACGTTAAGTCGATATTAGGCTGTATATAGCTGACTCTTGTTATATTGCAATATATTAGGCAAAGAAATGCAGCTTTGCTATTGAACGATATTTAATGGTAACTTTTATTCCGCTGCTTTTCGGGAATATTAAACATCATTCGATTCACGTTGAATCGATATTAAACTGTATATAGCTGACTCTTGTTATATTGCCATAATTAGGCAAAGACATGCAGCTTTGACATTGAACGATATCTAATGGTAACTTTTATTCTACTGCTTTTCGAGACTATTAAAAATCTTTAGATTCACATTGAGTCGATATTAGACAACACTCTCGTTATATTGCCATATATTAGGAAAGAAATCGCTGTGTCATCGAACGATATTTAATGACAACTTTGATTCTGATGCTGTTTTTAACTGTTCAAAATCTTTAGATTAACGTTCAGTCGATATTGGAGCACACTCTCCTTATATTGCCATATATGAAGCAAAGAAAAGAAACTTGCCATTGAACGATACTCAATGGTAACTTTTATTCTGATATGCTTCAGGGCTATTCGAAGTCTTGGAGTCAATGTTAGACCGCATATAGCAGACTCTCGTTATATTGCCATATATTAAACAGAAAAACCAGTCTTTCATCGAACAATATTCACTGCTAACTTTTATTCTAATTTTTTAACCGTTTAAAATCTTCAGATTGACATTAAGTCGATATTAGACCAGACTCTCGTTATATTGCCATACATTACTCAAAGAGAAGAAACTTTGTCATTGAACGATACTCAATAGTAATTTTTATTCTGATTCTCTTCCGGACTGTTCGAAATCTTGAAGTCGATATTAGACCGTATATAGCAGACTCTCATTATATTGCAATATATTGGGCAAAGAAACCAGTCTGTCATCAAACGATATACAATAGTAATTTTTATTCTGGTGCTCTTCTTAGTTGTTCAAAATCTTCAGATTGATGTTGAGTTAATATTAGACCACACTCTCGTTATATTGCCATATATTAGATTAACAGTATAAAATGAATTATTAGAACATCAAAGAGAGCTTGTTTACTACCAAGGCATAACACTCGAATAACACGATAGAATATCAAAGTGCATCAATATTAAAATGCTAAATTATGTTAAAAGAATGTAGAATGCTTGAATATTAAAGTATTGAAATATTAGAAACGGTAATGCATAGGTGCCCTCATAAATGTGTTGATACATTAATCATTAAAGCGTTAGTGAGTACCGTAAGAATTAAAGTAGTGGAACATTGCTGAGCTACGATAGAGGTAGCATAGCGTGTCATATTAGGGCGCTAGAATAATAGGGTGTTGTCAGTTATTACGGTGCTAATACAATCGAGTACAAAGATAGTAGAGAACCCTAATGTAGAGCAAAAACTAGAAAAAAACTATAACTACAAAAAATGTGCCAATCTTCCACTTGCCAATTTTTAAGACTATAAACCTACCGCCAAAATTCGTCAGTGTCTTCAAGTACAAAATTAATTATTCCACGGGTAAACCAATACCAAATAAGCGAGCGTTATCTAAAAAAAGAATCTTCAAACATTTCATTGAGTAGCCCCCCTCGCGCATATTGTCCTTGATATTCGTTTGCAACGTGCGTCGGATCCAACATCCGGTGCAGACGATTAACGTCCGTATATTGCTCTACGCTATGCTATACCAATCAGTATATAATAGAAGCTACGCTTCACGCACTTCCGCCAATGCTGGATTTAGAGCAGCGTACGCGATGTGCTGTGACTGATAAGCGTACCACCTTGTATTCGCTGATACATCTTTCCATTCGAGAGAATGAAGATTTCTCTTCAGGTTGTACGCTATCTTCTTTACATGGAAAATGCACGGTTTTTCACCGTTCTACTTCAGCCATTACCATACAATCGCGCTTAAAAATCACGTTCACCCCATATGCATATTCTCGGTTGCAAATGAACAAAACACTTTCTTCTTTTTTTTTTTAGAAAGTACGTGATCTTTTTATACTTGTTAATTATGATGATGAATTGATCCGTTTCAAACATGCAGTTGCATGAGAAAGATACTTTTTTCAGACTACATCTTTATTTGCATAGATACTTTACACAGATTTAGACACATTTAGAACATTCATAAAAAGTGCGAGGTACAATGTTAAGATAATTGGATAGATATTTTAAATTGGTAGAAAATATCGTGGACTTAGTTACAAAAAGAAAGGTACCATTCAGTTCCTTCATTCACAATTTCCCCGACAGCTCATCCCATTTATGCACCCTTGAAGCAAGGAAGCCATAATCAGCAAACTATCGAAACGAGAGTGAGACATGAAATTTTAATTGCTAAAAGGCGCCTGAACCCGGCACTTAAACGAACGTGAAGAAGCGCAGACAAAACGCATAAATATTGTCTGAGGGCGGAAGGAAATAGAAAGGATTCCGAAGAATGGAGTTCGAATCGCATAAAGGACTTTTGACAACCACCCTCGGGGCTCTCCCTAACCGGGCAAAGATAAAAGGGTACGTAGGGGAGAAAGATCAGAAGGAAGAGTAGGGAAAAAGGACAATCCATCGCGGTCGCCACCGCCCACGTTTTACAACCCCAAGTCCGCACCCTTCGCACCCCATAATGCAACGCGTGGTGCAACAAACCCTTCACGCAAGTCGAGGTCTCCAACCCGTAAAATTGCTTCGGAACCCCGCGTGACTCTAAACCACCGTGAACGTCGAGGCTTTCATGAAATCGATCCCAATCTGCCTCGTCCCTAACTGTTGCAGGTGCAGGTTTGTTAAATCGAGTTTTAGCGCCAGGAAGGGAAGCGTGTTATGTGTCTCAATGGACACGGGCACTTTACGGAGTGAGTGGGTACTGTGACCGAACCTTCGCGCAAAGAAAATTGCAATGTAGGGACACACGACCTTGCAATTAGTTGATTTTTTGAAGTTATGAAGTTGGGGATTTGGAGAGTTTTTGGATTTTATGACTTAGTTACGTGGGGTTTTGCAGATTTGAGGATTTGAGGATTTAGAAATTTTGGAATTTAGGGACTTGGGAGTATAGGAACTTGGGATTATGAAGATTTGGAGATTTGGGGATTTAGGGATTTGGGGATTTGGGGATTTAGGGATTTGGGAATTTGGGAATTTGGGGATTTGGGAATTTAGGGATTTGGGAACTTAGGGATTTGGGAATTTAGAAATTTGGGAATTTAGAGATTTGGGAATTTGGGGATTTGGGAATTTAGGGATTTGGGGATTCGGGGATTTGGGGATTTGGGGATTTGGGAATTTAAGAATTTGGGAATTTAGGGATTTGCGAATTTAGGGATTTGGGAATTTAGGAATTTGGGAATTTAGGAATTTAGGAATTTAGGAATTTAGGAATTTAGGAATTTAGGAATTTAGGAATTTAGGAATTTAGGGATTTGGGACTTTAGGGATTTGGGAATTTGGGGATTTGGGAATTTGGAAATTTGGGAATTTAGGAATTTGGAAATTTGGAAATTTAGGGATTTGAAAATTTAGGAATTTGGAAATTTGGAAATTTAGGGATTTGGGAATTTTAGAATTTGGGAATTTAAGGATTTGGAAGCCCAGGTATTGGGGAATGTAGAGACTTATAAATCTAGGGATTTTGGGACCTAGGAATTGGGGAGTCTAGGGATTTTTGCATCTAGAAATGGGACGATCTAGGGATTTTGGGACCTAAAAATTTCGGGGTCTAGGGATTTGGGAATCTAAATTTGCAAATTTAGAAATTTGGAAATTTAGGAGCTTGGGAATTTTAGGGTTTGGAAACCTAGATATTGGAAAATGTAGGCTTATAAATCTAGGGATTTTTGCACCTAGGAACTTGTTGGTCTAGGGACTTTTGCATCTAGAAATGTGGTGATCTAGGGATTTTTTCCAGTAACTTAGAAATTTTCCAATCTAGAAATTTAGAATTACAAAAATTAAGAAATCCAAGAATTTCTAAATGTAGAAATTCATGAATTTACAAATTAAAAATTTCTAGAGATTCAAAAATTTTGGGATTTGAACACCTAACAATTCATGAATTTAGAAATTCAAAAACACAAAAATTTGAAAATTTGAATATTATCAAAAATTATATACTGTATACCCCATAAGAGTACATCCCTGTGTTATCTACATCAAATAAGTATAATTCATAATTTTTATTTCTAAAGTAATAAACGGCAATATAATCCACATCCATATAAGGAGCACTGATAATACATGACATCAAAAAATACTTTATCTCTACCTCGCGAACTTATCTCTGCACTCGCCATTTACTTTCATCAACGCTATTAAATCCTGCGTTCTATCTCCTCTAATCTCATTAATTATAAATACTCATGAATATCCATACTTTACGCACGTTTTCAAACGCACCTGCTCTAACCGCGTACTCGCACGCGTGTAAACTTTACCAACATAACTTGGAATACAATTTATGTTAGCTCAACCCCAATTCCTCGAGAAAATGGTGTATTATATAACCGTATGCAATTTCTTGCTGCATCAACAGTTTAATATCACGAATATTTGCCCTGTTAACAAACCACAATGTTTTCGATTTCTCGAATTACCGGAAACACTCGAAACAACCTCGTTCACCATAGACAAGGTAGAAACTTGAGTTTCGCTCCTTAAAGGTAGGAAAATCCTTTTCCCAGTGTGAAAGCGGTCAATTATCATTTCTCTGGGTGTTCGTGCGGCGAACAGT